TTCTTCTAATTTAATCTCAAAATTTAATCTTTTGATTCTCCTGGCTCATTGGGCCATTGGGGAAGTAAGGACTTGGTTCCATCGCTCATCTGCACTGGAATCCTCGGGAGCACATGTCGCCCAGGGTCTATGTCGACAAGCTCCTGCTGTCGGCCGCCTGTGTGAATGCCTTAGGCAATCCGCGGGACGAGCTGATCGTGAAAGAGGTGTCTGCTGTCATGGAAGCTGATGTCCATTTTCAGCAGATTTTTTTTGCTGGCAACACACACTGTGGGAAGGAAAAGATGTTTCTTGCGTGTAATTACTTCGAGTCTCGATGCTGAGGAGAAGACCCGTCAGCGAAAGCGTTGGGCCAAGGACCGTCTTTGTCGAGTTCGTCAGTTGGATGAGGTAGCGTCGGCGTCGCACTCAGTGTCAGTGGACCTGGATGCTGCGGCCGGCTACGACGAAGACGATGTCGTCGACCTCTTGCGCCCCATGGACATGGCGTCGGCTGCCGGGGTCACGAATCGGACCATGATCCGACGACTTAAGGCCGAATCGAAGCAGGCCGAGCTGCCGGCCAGCGTGGACAAGCTCATGGAGCAGCTTCAGGGTCAGCTTCAGACAAAGGGCGTCTTGGATCCCTTGCCTTTGTCTGCGTCTGTGGACAGGAAACGGCAGACGGCCATGGAGACTGTTCGCCTGAGGGAGTGGCTACAGTCTGAAGAAGGCAAGGAGTGGAAGAATCAGCGAGCAGAGACTTGGTCCACGGCCAGCTGGTCGCTCCCGGCGGCGTCAGCCACTGCTGCCGCATCATCATCAGCCAAGTCTGATGCGACAGCAGCATCCTCCGGGTTCAACACTGCACAAGCTCCCTGCGCCGGATTGTCGGCATGGTTTTCCTATTCTTCCGTCATCGAGTCTAAGTCTAGAACTAATTATACTGCACAGCAAGAGAAGAACTTGCATTTGCGCTGCTGCTTCGACGACTGAGGCTAAGACTGGCTCGGCCAAAGCCAAAAGCGCCCGAAAAAAAGCGAAAGCTGACGGCTAGATCTCACACCTTCTGTCTGAGTCGGTCAGACAAGCCAGCCGTCAGCCGTCAGCCCGCTGCACGCGGTGATGTAG